GAATACTATTGTCTTTTGCGTATGCTATTTTCACAATTTTTTCACTAATCAAATTTACATTAGCGCCTATGTCAATACTAAATCGAAAATCTGAGAGAATTATTTTGGTCCATTCAAGATTCACCTCTCTTTTTCATATATCATTTATACTGCTAACATATTTTAGATCTTAGCCTGAAAGATACGTTAGAATAAATGGTATTAATTCTGGTAAAAAAAGCTCAAAAAGATTTGACATATGCATTTTTATATGGTTAGAATATCTTTCAATCGAAATATAGTTCATCAATTCAAACCACAAACTGCTTAATCTTTCTTCATCGTACTTTTCTTTGGTGTTTATGAGGAATGGTCTTTTTATCTCTTACCCGAATTATTTCAACTGAATCAGAATCTTCAGAAGACTCAGATGAATAGGAAGAACCCTTACATTTTTTGATCTTTGGCAAGAAAGCTATTTCTTGTATTAAGTCAACCACAGTTTTCCTATCCACATATTCGTCTAGATCTTTTAATTCGTCTTTTAAGGATCTCATATCTTTCTCCAATCTTTTTACCCTCCTTTCTAAAGTATTAGGTTGGGAATGATAATCTTTTATTTATTTCTTTAATGCCATATTTTCACTGAAAAACACACTATATACTTTTGTATTTTACTCGTTTAGCCCAAATATCTGGGCTAATTTTTCTGTGTATCTGATAACTTCCTGTTTACTAGGTGTACTATCAGATGAATGTTTTTGTTCAGTTACCATTTTCGTGATATATTATATACACTATATCATGCCTTAAGCGAAAAAAATAAATTAATAAATGATATCAAACCCATATATATGATTAGTTTTCATCGAAGAGCTTGAATGCCTTTGCCTGATCGGACAGATATATACAAATCATTATTAGGATTAATCCACTTTTTCTTTTATCTTTACCTAGTTCTTTAGAGATACCTTCAAATAATTGCGAGAAGGTGGGTCATTCATTACGCCATAACTTTCTACTGATTCATGATGACCTACTACTTGTCTGCAAGCCAACTTTCGTAAATATTAGTAGTGAGAATCGTTCCTATCTCCATGGATCCTGCTAGCATGATCTGCTCCTATCTTCCTCAATTTATTCAAAGTAATTCCATGTTTAGCTAGAATAAGATTAATTGGATTTACATTAACTATATCACTTTTGTTTTTTCGTAAGAAGGGAAATTTTTCTGGTATTGCTTTCTAAATTCAAGTAAGAAACTCTTTTACTCGTATTGGATCCTTTTCCATTGAGACGAAAGGTCGAGGTTCTCCTACTTCTGTTTCTACTTTAGTTTTAGAGTAGCTAGTACAATACCAGGAATATTTAGGGTTATATCATATTTTATCTGATACTTCATATTTGTCAATACGAAGAGTTGCTATATCTGCTAGTCGCATGCTTAACATTATTATTACATCAACCAGATCTTCCTTAGAAGGTGATAAAGAGAAATCACATTTTTTGAGTCTTTCCTGAACCAGTTCTAAGAAGAAGTGTTCAGACCAATTGACACCTTCAAATTTGTCAAGTACAAGCCGTTGTGTCTGAATTTCATTTGATTCAGTAGTAATATAAGGAATTTTGGTTGCTTCTTTTTTGAGATGATCAGCTCCATAATCCCGTAACTTTTTCATAATAAAGTGAGCCATGAACCTCTAGCAACTGGATTAGGCGCAGAACTACCCAAATTATATGAAATTTGTTTTATTTTCTCAGACGAATAATCATTATCCACAATTTCTTGGGCAATTTTATCAACAGTAGTCCTGCCTTTTTCATGCTTTCCAGAAGGTCGAATAGGAATGAGAACTTCTACTTGTTCTTTAGTAAGCCCTAATTGTCGAAAATGTGTTTTGGCATTGAATCTTATCTTGCGATCATCCTTCAAACTTTTGTTAATTTCCTCTGTATATTTAGCTAGTTCGGGTGATGAAGTTTCGGAAGTCCATTTATGGCGATTCATAAAATCTGTAGCAATTTTTACCATATTGTTTTATGACAGTATAGTCGAGAATATTAAAACATACTAACTTTATATTATGTACAAAAAAGTTCAATTCGAAAAAAGTTTCTGATAATTTACTATGTGATCCCTCTAGAACCCGTTCATATTTAGTGAAAGATCAGATGAGCAAAAAAATATATATAACCTATGACCTAGTCATAAAGGGTATTTCATCGATTTGAAATCTGCAGATAGATATGATATGCGAAAAAATATATAGTCATGGGATTCCCATCTCAAGGCTATAAATGGTCTAAGACCTAGATGATAATACTTAATAAAATGTTCGTGTTAGAGCTAAATATACTATGGTTCTAAAGCATTTGTTTTAGTGAGTGCATCATATAAATCACCCAGTCTATATTTTGATAGAGTTAAATTCAAGTGATAGAGGAGTTGTATAAGCATGTCACTCCTCTAAGCTTTTGTCTCTTCACGTTCCCAAATTATCCCTATTAATGTAGACAAGCTATCACTAAAATAATTCATTTGGATTAAATTCTGAAGTGAAAACTGTCTATTTTTTTCTAGAGTAAATAAACACATATCACCCTCAACAGCGGATTCTACACTAATAGGAAATCTTTTATGAATATCTGATCTATTAGCTAGGATAGATAAAGGTGGAATTAAGGCTGGATAGTAGAAGTCAGCTAAGGGATCTAATTCAAATTCATCAGCATACATAGTTCCAATATCTTCTAAATAATCTGAAAGTCTATCAGTATATCTGTAACCTTCACGAATTAACTTCTGGAATAACTTTCCATTTGAATCAACCTATCGACTAGTTAGTATATTGAGTATCGTTCTTTGCATTATATCTATAACGTAAGTAAGAAATGGTAGTTTATCTCATTATGATATCAATTAATTTAAATACATGTTTTATTATAAAATTAAAAGTAAAAGATAGTTTTATATCCTAAAATACTTCTATGGCTCATCTTACTTGCGCATATATCAAGAAAGATGGTACTATTTGTGGAAATAAATGCTAGCTCCCTACAGGGTATTATAGACATTCAAAATTATATGAAAAAATATGAAAAAAAGACACTGCATTGTTTGTGGATTCCCTAATGATTCTACTACAGGATGTTGTCCAAGGCATTCTGCAAAGTTTCATGCACTAAATTATCGAATGAGGAAGAAGTATGGAGTTGAGACCTTTCAACTTATGAAGAACTCGGAATTGTCTACCTAGGAGAGAAGAAAAAAAATATTATTCCATTCATAAATCAGGCATCAAAGTAGAATAACGTATTTTGATAGTATATAGTTTGGTATTCTTCTGCAAAAATATTATATAAAATAATAGCAGAAGAATACCTGTATGAAGAATAATATTAACACATATCAAATAAATCCTGAATATCTTCTGTAATTTGCAATGATGCTTAGTTTGTTGAAACTAGGTCCGAAAGATGTTTTGCTAACTTTCTCTAATAATAATTCATCAGAAATAAGTTTACTATAAGCATATCAGGTATCTTTTCTATTATCCCAATATACCTCCTTCCTGTTTGATACAAAGGTAATTTGGGAGAATTCTCACCATCAAATGAACCAACCAAGTGATAATAGACGTGTTTATTATTGATACCTTTGAACTTCAACCCATATGTCGTATACAGTGCTGAATTTAGCAAACCAAGTTTCGCTCAGATTGTTTTTAATCCTAATTTTTTAGCTCTATGTGAAGTATCTGTATTATCAAATACTCAAGCCATTTTAGATACTAAACCCTGTAGATATGATATTAATTCAGGAGAATTCATGCGTGTTTTAACATTATTAGCTTTATATCGTGTTCTATCATCGATATCTCTAACGGGTGTACAATTCCTTAGTAATTCCAGGCAAATTTGATGTCTCTCAACTCGAGTGGCTACAATAAGTTTATCTTCTCTATAATCTTTGTGGGTAAAAGCCTCTACAGCTGTTTCATTATCAGTGCCAGTGTCTCGTAATTGCTTATAAGCTCTGAACCATCTCATATGATTATAATCCCCATACTTCAAAATGAAATTTTTGGTCAATGACTCAGGTGACATCTCATAATACTCCACAATGTGGTGTCAGTCCAGAGACCGCATTTCTTCTAAAGTCTTTTTTGGTTTAGTCTCTAAAAATTCAGCAGTCTCACGATCGATGATAGTAGCATTGGTAACATCTACTATCTCTTCTGCTTTAATGATAGAAGAACTCACCTTTATTATTTGAGATAATGATATTGTATTATCTTCAGGTTTAGGAATAGGTTCTACGATCGAAACACACATACCAGCTTTTCAAAGGAAAGCAATCATTCTTCAACCAAATAAATAATAAGATCGAATTTTTCTAGCATATAAGCCACCTACAATTGAATAGTTAATACATTCTTATTCCGGATGATAGAGTCTATATCTGGAAATATTCCTCTATTTTGAAGTTCTCGGGGGAGACATTCACGTTTGACATTCAACAACCATTGGAATAATCCCTTTTCTATAATGAGAACGTTAGAAGATCTCTGCTCAATATGACATATATAATCCTTAATACATCACATTCAGAATAATATCTGATTCGTTCTAGCATTTGTTTCTATATAGCTATTAAAGAGACAGAATGCCCGCTCAAACTTTGGATTAGTGCATGATACTCCTATTTTTAGAGTGCTAGTATAGGCAATTAGGTCTAAGTCTTTCCATGATTCTTCTACATTGCTAAAATC